TCCTCTTACCTTTAACTACTGGTGCTGGTTTTGTCTGGATTTTTGCAGGTTCTAAATAAAGACATTATGGGTTCAACATTACAGAAAATAAGACACATTGAAATTATAAAAGCTAAATACAGTTAAAACTTATATTTGTGACGTACTCGTCTTTGCAGCGACTGTTTTGATTTTTGGTGCTTTGACCACTGTGGAAAAAAACACCACAAACAGATTATGAACTATTAAACTATTAGGATTCATCCCTGATATTTTTAAGGATCTGAAATCAATGACAGATATGAACTAAAAGAGAATCACCTTTCTTCATCGGCACTATTTTGACCCTCTCTTTTGCCAGAGTGGCATTTTTAGGAGCGCCTTCTCGTTCTGTCAGCAGAAATTTGGGAGTGAAATATTCACACAGGGTTTTATTTAATTTGGTATTTTTGTATACATTAGGAAACTTTACCTTTGGTCAAGATGACTTGTTTTGCCTTTTCTTTAGGAGCAGCGGCCTCTGTGTGTCAAAAGGACAACAGTTCTCACACATGGACATGGTGGTAATGATTTATTTTGCTCTTTGGTGACAAGAACATTATCTAAACACAACTGTAACTTATGATATAATATATTATGACTGTACCTTTCTTTGCAGGAGCTGCTTTGGCCTTTTTCTTTGGTGCTTCTGTGTCACACATGGGGCATAAAGATGACATAGTTATTTTAAATATTAATTATACTAAAAACATTTCCATGATAAATTGATAATCTGGTGACCATGTTGATTTAAGTTCATCACATTCTAGTTAAGTCCAGAATTTTCCACATAGTGGTAGTTTTTTTCTTTTTACAAACTATAAACTATGCTAAAAAAAAAAAATACAGTCCAGTGTGAACATTTAGCATAAATATGTACTTTTGCGATGAATTTGTTCAGTTTTTGTCGACACTGTCAGTTATATGTTTCAACATTGAGTTCATAGTGATGGTGCTTTGTTGGATTATATTTTTAATGCTCTGCTCACTTATGTCAAAAGAGAGGATGACAAAATTCCAAAGACGTTTGAATATATATAAAACAACAGATCAACAAAGG